TAAATGGTGAATATACCAGGTGTTCGCAAAAAGGTAAGTGTGTCCTGCCCAACCGGTGGCATCCGTGACAAACACATCGAAAGGCAAGGCAAATAGTCACCTTAAACACCCAATGGGAACATATGGTACATGTCAAAGCAAGGAATTGCATCGGACATTGCATGTTCGTCACTAAAGCGTCAAATTTGGAAACGTTCTCCACATATCTACCATAAAACGTTTTGAAGGCTTTACTGAAGCCTTGAATGTTGCAAAAGGCGTATGACGCTCTTTGAACTCTTTGTAGGAGACATCCTTGCTCAAGCTGTAAAGTACATGCACTAGTTATTGACCAGTGGAGTTTGTTGAGGACATCCAGTTGCTGTCCAGCTTGTAGGAGCTCCAATCAAACGTCTTGCACGTTCGAAATTAACCCCATTAGACGTTGATCTTCGAATGTATAGCATCTGACACTTTAGGAATCAACACCTTTATCCCTTGACGTTCGACATCATTGCATGTAGCAAGAATTGTCCATCAGAAGTCGACATCACTGCATGTAGCAAGCATTGTCAATCAGAAGTGGACATCACTGCATGTAGCGTGCATTGTCCATCAGATGTCGACATCACTGCATGTAGCAAGCATTGTTAATCAGAAGCCTACATCACTGCATGTAGCAAGCATTGTCAATCAGAAGTCGACATCACTGCATGTAGCAAGCATTGTCCATCAGATGTCGACATCACTGCATGTAGCAAGGATTGTGAATCAGAAGTCACCATCACTGCATGTAGCAAGCATTGTGAATCAGAAGTCGACATCACTGCATGTAGCAAGCATTGTGAATCAGAAGTCGACATCACTGCATGTAGCAAGCATTGTCAATCAGAAGTCGACATCACTGCATGTAGCAAGCATTGTCAATCAGAAGTCGACATCACTGCATGTAGCAAGCATTGTCAATCAGAAGTCGACATCACTGCATGTAGCAAGCATTGTCAATCAGAAGTCGACATCAATGCATGTAGCAAGCATTGTCAATCAGAAGTCGACATCACTGCATGTATCAAGCATTGTGAATCAGAAGTCGACATCACTGCATGTAGCAAGCATTGTGAATCAGAAGCCTACACCACTGCATGTAGCAAGCATTGTCAATCAGAAGTCGACATCACTGCATGTAGCAAGCATTGTCCATCAGATGTCGACATCACTGCATGTAGCAAGGATTGTGAATCAGAAGTCACCATCACTGCATGTAGCAAGCATTGTGAATCAGAAGTCGACATCACTGCATGTAGCAAGCATTGTCAATCAGAAGTCGACATCACTGCATGTAGCAAGCATTGTGAATCAGAAGTCGACATCACTGCATGTAGCAAGCATTGTGAATCAGATGTCGACATCACTGCATGTAGCAAGCATTGTCAATCAGAAGTGGACATCACTGCATGTAGCAAGCATTGTGAATCAGAAGTCGACATCACTGCATGTAGCAAGCATTGTGAATCAGAAGTCGACATCACTGCATGTATCAAGCATTGTCAATCAGAAGTCGACATCATTGCATGTAGCAAGCATTGTCAATCAGAAGTCGACATCACTGCATGTAGCAAGCATTGTGAATCAGAAGTCGACATCAAAACGCTCAAAGTTTATTCTCAATCATCAATCATTATTTTCACCACATATATTTGCGTTCATGGTACGGCCATAGAGTTTCTGAAGAGGTCGCAGGCTGCTATTCTGCTTGATAAGGACCCCGGGTAAGCGAGTATATGTGTTCCGGATGGCCTTCAGCTGAAACATTTCCGAGACACTTGTCACACGTTTAACGTAGAACCCAGCATCATATTTTGGAACCCCGCATCACATGCAGGACACGACGCCACATGTGGTACCCGCATCAGATGTAGGATGCCACACAACATGTAGAACACCACGTGACATGTAGAACACCACGTGACATGTAGGACACCACGTGACATGTAGAACACCTCGTTGCATGTAGAACACCATGTTTCTTGTAGGAGAACAGGTTACATGTAGGACATCACGTTACATGTAAGTCATTACGTTACCTGTAGACCACCATGTTACTTGTATGACACCACCTTGCATGAAGGACACCACGTTGTATGTAGAACTCCACGTTACATGTAGAACTACACGTTACATGTAGAATTACATATAGAACTACACGTTACATGTAGAACTACATGAAGAAGAACGTTACTTGAAGGAAATCACATTACATGTAGAACTCCACGTCACATGTAGAACTCTACGTCACATGTAGAACTTCACACTACGTGTAGAATATATCACAATTTTTAACGGACAGGCAATTTCAAGTCCGAGTACGTTCCACTCTGTCTGACCATTATAATCAAGATCAGGGTTCCCACTAGGCAGTACTTTGTCTGTCAGTCTATTTAGTAGAAAAATAAATATTCTGTCAAAGGTTTTATTTCTTGTCTTGGAAAAAAAATAATTTATTATATTTTAAGACTTACTTTCTTGCCTTCAAGCTATTAAAAATCTATCTTCTTCACTTTCACTTTTAATCGAAATTCTTGAATTGTTTTATGATCTTGCTACTGGCAAATACGACATATACTCAACAACAAAAGTTTTCAATATTGTAGTACATGTCTGGAATCAAGTCACAAAAACGCAACTGCTACAGAAAAGCATGCATTCCAAGACCCATGCATTTCACTACCCAAGAATGGGTTTAAAAACATGTGCGTTAACGGGATCATGCTGACAACAACCACTCAAAAAAACAAAACAATTACGCAATTATTTAACATTACGAAATGCCACGCCTGTCCGAAAATGTGCGTCTGCGGGCCATCGGTATGCTTGAAGCAGGATCGAGTCAACGTGATGTTGCAAGACAATTTAACGTCCACAGAAACACCATTTGGTGTTTATGGCAACGTTGGCAACAGACGAATGCAGAGACCATCTTCGGAGCGGCAGGCCACGCGTAACCATACATCGACTAGACAACTGGATTCGAACAACACACCTACGAAATAGATTCAAGCCAGCAACAGTGACTGCAAGAAGCAATCCTGGCCTTCAACGAATATCTTCACAAACCGTACGTCGTTGCCTCAGATGTGCAGGGATTGTCGCCAGAAGACCCGCCAGACGTCCCATTTTGACAGGAAACCACCGTCAAGCACGTCTACAGTAGTGCAGACAGCGTCTACGCTGGACGGCCATGCAGTGGGGACAAGTTCTATTCACTGACGAGTCTCGTTTTCACCTCAGCCACAGCGATGGACGGATTCGAGTGTACCGACGTCGAGGTGAACGTTACGTCAATCATTGTGTCATGGAAGAAGATCGGTTCGAGTGCGGAAGCGTTATAGTATGGGATGTGGTTACAGCAAGACAGAGGACCCGTTTGATAGTGGTAGAGGGAAATCTCAATGGACAGCGCTACCGCGACGAGATCATCGGCCCTGTTGTTCTACCGTTTTTCCGTCTCTCACCAATCGAGCACATGTGGGATGAGATGGATCGGCGGCGTCAACCACGTGTTCCACAGACACTCCAGGAACTTCGAAACATGCTCCAGCAGATATGGACAGATATCCCACAGGACTCTGTGCGACGCCTGGTCCATTCCATGAGACGAAGATGTGTTGCTTGCATCGCAACCAGAGGTGGACACACACGCTATTGATTTGTAAATTGACATTTTGGCATGCTCATTTTTTTGGTATGAAATCACGCATTTTCTGAAGTCAGTATGGCAAATTAAACCATTTGAGCACTCACAGGAGTCTTTTATCTGTTGCAAACAGAAATTGTTTCAGATTTGGTAAAAAACATAACTTTGCATTTAATCTTATTCAATGTCACAGGAACTTTTGTTGTTAGTATAGTGTCTCTGTTGGTTACCGAGCCATGTTAGAATCATTGGTAACACAATGGCTGATGCTGCATCTGAAACAGCACTCAATAAATATGTGACACCACTTTTAATTCCATACTGCGATTACAAACCTGTCATTAGATGTTACATCAGAGGTCTTATGCAAAAGAAGTGGGACACCCAAGTAGGTTTCAATTAATTACATGAAATAACTCCAATTATCGGTTACACCAACTTGGTTTGTCCAGATTTGAAGAAGTCATTATACGACGATGTCGTATTGGCCACTCGAGATAAACATAAATATTTATTGAAAAGTGAAGATCCTCCATTCTGTATCCCTTCTTATGAATAAATCACGGTCAATCATGACCTATTTGACTGTATTGGTTTGTCTATCATACGTTTCATCCATCAAGGATCTTTTTAATATAAGTTCCCATTTAATATTTAATTGATGGATACATTTTGATTGAAAAGATAGAATATTGCTGACGTTATTATCTGCAATTACGGTGATATTGCAGAGACTGGTGCCGTCTATTACGGTGCTATTGCAGAGACTGATACATTCTAATATTAGGGTGATATTGTAGAGACTGGTACCTTCAATTACGGTGATTTTGCAGAGACTGGTACCTTCTATCACAGTGATATTGCAGAGACTGGTACCTTCAATTACGGTGATATTGTAGAGACTGGTACCATCTATCACGGTGATATTGCAGAGACTGGTACCTTCTATCATGGTGATATTGCAGAGACTTGTACCTTTTATTACGGTGCCATCTATAACGTTGATATTGCAGAGACTGGTACTATCTATTATGTGATATTGCAAAGACTGGTGCCTTCTATTACGGTGATATTGCAGAGATTGGTACCGACCATTACGGTGATATATCGGGATGACAAGTCAAGCTGCTTCAAGATGAATCACTGACAATACTTCACTTCAGTGACATATAACTGACGTCGTGTGTCATGACGTGTGTCATCTACCCTGACAGTGCTGTCGTGCATAAACCAATCGCTGCTTCCGCCCCTAACTATGACGTGTAGCTTAACACCCTTTATAATGCGCCTCTTATAGCCGGTACTACATATAGAAGCATCACGGCATTAGACCAACCTGCACCTCCTCCAAACACAGCAGTCATGGGTATGATGGACATTGCCTGCGTTGTTTTCGCTGTCTCTGTCGCCATCCCAGGCGCGTTGTGTGGTGTGCCTCACGCGCAGCCCAGTGATGATGGGAATGTTTGCATCCAGAAGCAGGAGGACGAGTTCTGTTTCTCATATGACCGCAACAACGAGGAGTTTGGTGAGTTAATCAATTATATCACTTGGGGATGAATTAAATACAAATAAAATCCAAAACGTCAAGGCTGGAGAAGAGTTTGTCTCGAATATCTGCCGAAACATATTCCATAAATAAAATAGTAATGGAAATCACATGAATGGACTCCATAGTTTGGTGTATGAAGCATTCGTCAATTGGTTAGGACATTTATAATTTACACTCTGCTGTATGGAATAGTCGAAAATTGTTTAACACGTCAGGGATATACAGAGTGTTGTATGGAGGATTCGAAAATTGGTCAGGACATCAGAAATACTAGTATACAGTTTCGTGCATGGGACATTCGAAACATGTTGAGGATATCAGAAATATATGGTTTTGTGTATGGAGCAATCGACTATTGGTTAGGACATCAGAAAAAAAACATTTTGGTTGTATGGATTAGTCGAAAGGATTGGTTAGCACATCGGGGATACATAGTTTGTTGTATGGAGTATTCGAAAATTGGTAAGGACATCAGAGATATATAGTTTGGTGTATGGTGCAATTGAAAAGTGGTTAGGACAACATGAATAAACGGTTTGGTGTATGGATCATTCACAAAGTGGTTAGGACATAAGAAATATGTACAGTTTGGTGTATAGAGCATTTGCAAATTAGTTAGGACATCAGAGATAAAAAGTTGGATGTGTGGCGCATTCACAAATTGGTCAGGTTATCAGAAATATATATACGTCCAATAGCTGCACGTCTTGCACTCATCGATGTCTGGTTTATCCTCGGACAAGTTGAAGATATCAAATAAGCAAGTTTTTAACGACGCACACAGCAATATTCCAGCTATATGACGGCGGTCTGTAAAATAATAGAGCCTGGACCATACAATCCAGTGATTGACATCATGAGCATCGATCCACGCAATTGGGATCGATGACTTATATCAACCAAGTCAGCGAGCCTGACCACCCGAACCCGTTAGTCACCTTTTACGGCAAGTAGGGGTTGCCGAAAGTAGTTGTATGCATCAGTCAAGAACCGCTCAGGATTCTGGAACCGCTCCTGGCTTCTGATTGGTCGAGAGGATCACGTGACCTCTGTGACGTCACTTCCGGTCACGTGACCTGCGCAGTGCATGATGGGACTTGCGTGGGCCTCCAAGATGGCGGCACCACCGTTTCCGGTGGCGCGCGCCTCCAAGATGGCGACACGTCCGTTTCCGGTGTCGTACGCCTCCAAGATGGCGTCGCCTCCGTTTCCGGGGAGGAGGGGAAAACCCGGAGAAGCGCACGTAAAAGGTGAACAGGATCGACATTGAAAGAAGCGCGTCAAAAATCTTTTGTTGTTGTTGTTGTTGTTGTTGTTGTTGTTCTAAACATAGACGTGGTGGTGGTGGTGGTGGTGGTGAAGGGAGGAAGGGAGGGAGGGAGGGAGGGAGGAGGCGGGGGTGGGTTCTTTGTTTGGGGGGTTGGAGGGTCGTCAAAGCAAAGGAGGAAAGCGTTCTTTCAGGAGAGATGGGTGGCCCTGAAAAGGGCCGTTGGAAAACAAACTGGAAACAAGCTTGACAAGGGTTGTCTCCTTGATTACATTACTTTCCTTGATCTCGATACTAGATAATAATACGGACCACCCCAACAGTCGGGTATGTCAATTCTGCGTTGAATAGTTTGTTGTAATGCTGACATAGCTTCAGACTTGTTCTTAAACCAGTGTCGGCTCTGCGATAGGATCGTCTCCGATTCACCCCGTGGGTAGCCCACTATTGTCCACGAATAGACTTTCATCCTCCGCTGGCATTGTTGACTGTTGGTCTGGTTCGTCAGACAGCTGCATCGAGACGACATGGTTGATCTCTCCTTCAGTGCTCGACTGTGACGGTGTGCGTGGCTTCGCTCTTTTTATAGGAGAGGCACTGACACCCTGCTTCCTGATTGGTCGAAAACGCATCGTGCTGATGGGTTCGTTCCGACACTTGGTCTGAGCCCCGGTTTTCTAAATCGGTCCGACCGTTGTGTTTCTTTTTTTCATAAGAAATTGTATGGGTCATGGGATCAGTTACCTGGTGTCAGTCAGCCAGAACACAGGATGGCATCACATGATGATGAAGAGGTCATGACCAGCCCTTTGACCCTACGCCATCCTTTTACGATGTTCATTGCGGGAACGACGGGATCAGGAAAAAGTTCCTTTGTGAAATCATGTATGGAGCAGATGCATCGCCCCGAGGTGTTGGATACGTCACCCCATCGCATCGTGTGGGTGTACAGCGAATGGCAACCGCTTCATCATGAACTGAAAGAGATGGCAGACCGCTTAGGGGTCGCTCTTGAGTTTGTCCACAGCATGAAAGAAGCGGATCGTGCCTTGCCCGAAAAAGGGGTGGCCCCCACATTGGCTGGTCATCGATGATTTGCTGGGGGACAATACGAAAGAAGAAGAAACCGAAGTGCTGCGATGGTTCACCAAGAAAAGTCATCACCGAAACTCATCTGTGCTGTATCTCACTGTGCTTCAGGGACTTGTGACCTCTGTATTTCACAAGACTCCTTCACCTACAGGATCGTCTCCCTCTTCAATGGTACCCGTGAACATACATCGTCAGCAGCAGCCATCACCACGTCCTTCAACATCATCAGCACCTTCGCCACCCTCGTCACCACATGATCTTCAACACTTTCAACCTCTGCAACAGCAACAGCAGCAACAGCAGCAGCAGCAGCAGCAGAAGTCCACGGAAGGTCCGTGTTACTGTTCGATGGTACCCTTGAACAAGCATCGTCAGGAACAACAACGGCCTTCCTCATCAGCACCCTCACCCCACTCGATCTTCAACGCTTTCAACGTCTGCAGCAGCAGGAGCCCCCACAAAGGAAGAAAAAAGACAAGAGGGAACCCTGACCGTGGAAGGGAAACCTGTCCCTGGCACACACATGGTGGACTTGATCAACGATTTAGTGCGTCACCGGAAAACCAAAGAGGGACCTGCAGGTTGGACCATTTTGAGACACCATTTGGCCAACAGTCATGTCCCTCATGAAATAATTGGAAATCCTCAAAGATGGCAATGGATGCAGAAGCAGCAGAAGCAGCAAAAGCAGCAGCAGCAGCAACACCATCCTCATGCCACACCAGAAACACCCATAACCCAGTTCTCCCTCCCCACGTTCTCCTTGCAAAGTCACAAAGAGAGAAGAAGAAGAAGGAAGCGGCAGCTGGATCCACAAGCGGAAGAAGAAGAAGAAGAAGAAGAAGAAGATGAGATGCCACCCCCACCTCCTTCGTGGCAACTGGATCCACCAGTGGAGGAAGAAAAAGATGTGATGTCAACCCCATGGTTGATGACTCCACCTCCATCTGATACCAACCAGGACAGAGTCATCAACAGGCGAGGTTCATGGATACCCTTTAGCACCACCTAAGAAAAAATAAATCTCTCCCCTTCTCTATAAAAAGGCCATTCATGTAGGAAGTGGCATCAGTCTGAGAGAAATGAAACGACAGACCAAGACGCGACAGCACATTCTTCCCTCTGCTGCTGCTGCAGGGAAACAAAACAAAGGATTTCCTACTTCCCTTTGGACGGCCTGGTTGGAAAAAACTTACTTTCATCCTGAACATCCTGCAAGTTTTGGAGGCTGGCGACCTTTGTGGAAAGCAGCACGCATCCACGCTCAAGATGCAAGAACCAGTAAAAGCAAGAAGAAAACCATGCCATCGCAAAGTCAAATCAAGCGTTGGTTGCAAACCAAAAGTACCTACACCTTGCACAAACCAGCCAGAAGCTCCTTTCCGAGAGACCACTATCATGTGGGAGGGGTCGATGAACTGTGGCAAGCAGACTTGAGTGACATGATTGCCTTTCAAGATGACAACGAAGGATTCAAATATCTGCTGTGCGTGATCGATGTGTTTTCAAAGATGGCATGGGTGCAACCCCTGAAGGCCAAGAGCAGTTCTGCTTTGACCGAAGGTTTTCAAAACTTGCTGATGCAACAAGCCAAAGATCGACTCCCTGCTCAATTGCAAACAGACAAAGGCAGAGAATTTGTCAACCGTCCTTTCCAGGCTCTCATGACGAAGCATGGCATTCATTTCTACACCAGTCAAAATCCTGAAACGAAAGCAACCGTGGTGGAACGGTTTCAAAGGACTCTGAAAAATAAAATGTGGCGATACTTTACACAGCATGGGACCAGACACTATTTGAAAGTCTTACCCCAGTTGATCAAGTCATACAACCATCGTGTGCATCGGACCATTGGCCAGCGACCTGTCGACGTCCTCCCAGGAGATCCCCTGTCAGAAATTCGGGTGTTAGACTACATGGAGGAAAAACAACAACAACAACGGCTTCAGCGCAAAAAAAAAATAACAACACAAAGACTGTTGTCCCCCAAGACAAGATCCCCCTCTCTTTTACTGCCAGGCACCCGTGTACGTCTGAACAAAACCAAAGGCACCTTTGAGAAAGGTTATCTCCCCAATTGGACCACTGAACTGTTTACGGTGGATCGGTTGGTGACTGGTAGAACACCTCCTGTGTATCGGATCAAAGATGATCATGGTGAAGTCCTCCAAGGAACTTTTTACCCTGAAGAAATACAACCCATCTTGAAAACAGACGATGTGTATGCCGTGGATCGCGTGCTGAAAGGACGTCCAGGACCGAAACAGGGTCAAGAAGAGGTCTTGGTGAAATGGACTGGCTACCCTGCCAGTTTTAATTTGTTGATCCCTGCAGATCATTTAAAGATAAAATAAGGAGCATGCTGTCTCTCAGACTCATTCAGAGGGTGGACACATGCGATGACAGAACCGCCACCACCACCACCACCGTCATCACCTCTGCAGAGAAGCCTCTCAGCATCCGTGGGTACTGATGAACCACCCCTTGCTGCTGCACCTCGTCATCACCAGCGCCGACACTCACCTTGGTGTTGTTTTGGCATGACGTTACCCCGCAGTGAAGTCGTGTTTTTTGCTCAGATCATTGTGATATATGGCGTGATCATCATGAGCATGGT